TTTTGAGTGACACTTTACTGGACCTACCTGGAGAAGCTATCCATGTACTTATCAACATCTTCAGCTAACAACAGCAGCTGACGCTGGTGTGACTCGGACATGGTGTGACATTTGAAACCATTGTGATCATTCCAAAAAAATGAGAAAGAAAGCTTTATAATATGATTGCAACACATTAACACTGACAGAAGTGAAGAAGCAACAAACTCTACAATGACTTAACAGTGACACTTGGTATAAGAAAATATTATACTAGCAAAGCTGCGGGGTGGGGGGGGGGGGGGGGAGGAGAAGGAAATTTCCTTGATGCTCGTCATTTTGTTTAGGGCTGTAAATTGCAGATTTTTGTATTAATAAGCAGGGTGTTCAGGTCAAAATGCCAACACTGCGTAGAGCTCTCAGGTCCAAATGCCAGTAGTCTTAAGCAAACTGTACACTGCACATTGTGTGTGCTTTAAGCAGTAGAGAAAGCAGAAGAAAAAAAAGAAAGGAAGGACTAAAAGTAACATATATTTCAATGACAACTTCTTTACGAGGTCATTAAAAGTTCCTATTTAAATTAATTCCAATTTTTCAACAAGCCTTAATTCCTGTTCTTTTCTTAAAGGGTCCATCCGGTGCTCAGTAGATGCACATAAAATGATAAGTGATTGAGGTCTAATCGAATGCGCTGTCACAAGTTTAAGATGAGTTACTGCTTTATTGTTTCTATTCCTCACAGCACTACTCTACATCACTTCACGCATCCATTTTAATTTACGACTCGAACTTTATTCATGCTGGTGTTTGATTTATAAAGAATAAATGAGAACAGTGGGAAAACTTGTACAAGAAAGCTGTTATGTGTGGAGAGTTTGCCGAAATTTTAGAAGCTTTCAATTTCTATATTAAAACATTGTAAGCTTATCTTAAGCTTAAGCTTATATACCTCGTCTCGACATTGTTTTTGGCACATTTGACAATACCATCTCAACTTCTGCAGTCCTTTCGCCTTGATCCTATTTGATATGGCTTTTGGAGTTAACGCTCCTGCCTTTTCTTTTCTTAGAGCGGTTTTCACTTGACTGTCGTAAAACCAAAACCAAAGTAAATACACTAGCCAACCAAAGGGCGTAGTAAAACCAAAACCAAAACCAAAACCAATTCCTTTCGACAGTCAAGTGAAAACCGCTCTATAAATACAACGGTTTTACTATAAGAGAGCAAGGCCCATTTCATGTTACTGCCATGCTAAGAAAGTCCAACTGAAGTAGGACTCTAGTGAAACTTGGTTTCAGACGTCAAATTTAATTCAGCTGAATAATAAAAAAATAGAGGACAGGGTGCAAAGAAAATCATTTGACTTACAGCTTGCCATTTGGGCAACCTGAAGCTAGCATTTACACTTTACTAGCACAGACGTAATTTCAACTGGTCCAAAAACTTTTTGACTGGCAGAATTGATCTCACAGTTCTTCTGTTATTCAAATTCATCACTTGCTCATCGGGCAAGTTAAAAACAGAACTCACTAGCTCGATAGTAACCTGAGATCAGGCTCTATTTTTGTTTTGCTTTGAAAATAACATTCCGGCGGGCAAGGTGAAGCAGTAGCAGTTAGAGAGACTGTATGAGAACTGCTAAAATTGTGCCTGATCTCAGGTTAGCTCGATAGCAAAATCCACTAACCCCGGCTATCAGACACTACTTTCTTTGTACGTTGGAGGATCAGGTTGGTGTGTTTTTAAAATGTACAATGTATTTTTAATGTATTTGTAATTTGAAAATTGAGATCAGCATGGCAGTAGCATGACATTAGAAATCAAAACTATGCTGAATTTAATTCATTCAACTGAGTTTGACACAGAAGTAGCACAAAATTAAGGAAACAAGCCAAAGCATCAATTCTTTGTTGCTTTTTTCTAAACACAATTATCAAACTGTTATGGAGCTTAAGCAGTCATGACAGAGACAAGAACACCGTAAAAAAACAATAATAAATTGTTGGTTTTATGAGCAAAAACAAGAACTCTGCACATGCATCACACTTTTTAGTACACTTTAACATCCACTGCATGACTACGACATTTTATGGAGGACGTAATCATACAACAACGAATTTCCTTTCTCTCTTTGAACCTGGATAAAGTCCAGGAAAATAGCTACATTTTGACAAACTGAGTGGGTCCAAATAGACAGAATAAATTTTAAAAGGATGCAAGTTCAATGATTTTCTGTTAGCAACATATTTTTCACTGTCGTTGTTGTTTCTTAAGCTCCTATTAACATAATAATAATACAGTATCTTTCTCATGTGACCGGACTATACTCCCTGATGTCACGTATCCAATTTGCAGATGTCGTCATAAGGAATTCTATCAATTCTCTTGCCCCTGTGAGGTCCCTGAGGAAACACAATAACAAAACGCACTGTGTAATTATTACTACCAGTAGTGAATTCAACACTCAGTTTATAGCATTGCTGTTCTGGTCCTGGTTCAATTTTATTGTCTCTTGTTTCAGACTCATCACTACATCCAAAAACAAAGGAAAATAAAATTCAAAGGTACGGGAGGGGGTGGGGGAGTGGGGGAGCGGAGGGAAGCAGTCTAGTCTTGAATCCAGTCTAGCCACTTCAAAGGAAGAGAAATGTGGAGTACAAAATAGAGATGAGTCAATTACCCCCACCATATTTAACCTGGGTGATGAAACTTAATAATATTAAAATAAAAAAAAATTATTATAGTCAGAGTGTTCATTTTATGAAACATTATCCCATATTGGGTTGGAACATAAGATTTATCTAAGGGGATTCTTCAAGGTTTTATAACATTTATTTGAATTAAATGTCAGTGATCAAAACAACTTGATCTTTGTAGCACCTTTGACTGTGATTAGCTAAACAGTCTGCTGTGTAGGAGACAAGGAAAGGGAAATCAGGTAAGGGGCAGGCAAGAGGCCTTGTATTATCACACAGCAATTTTCCTCTCCTCTCCTCCACTCTTTGCAGGCCAAGATGACATGAGGAAAGCGTAATTTCATCATTTTAACTTGCAAGGAAGGGAAGTCCTGTTAAAAGGAGACAAATCTGACTTACATCTTTAAGATCCACTGTAACTGAAAAGCTTTTTTCATTCAGTGATACAAGTGATGCTTTTGATCCTCTGTGGATGCCATTTACAATCAGTACAGTTTTACCTGAAAATCCATTAACAAGTTTTGCTAGTAAGCACTCCATTACAAGTTGTGACAATTTGCTTCTCTAGAGATTTCACAGAAAAATAAATTGGTATACATTCTTACAGTACATCCTTTAAAGCATAGTTTGCTGATATTTGAAGAAAATTGTGACTCAAGTTACTCTTTGACCTGTGCTGACTAATAAGCTGTCTTGGAGTGAATCTACATTGTATAATGGACCAGAAATAACATTGAAAATTTCACTACCACTCTAGCTGTAGCCTGACTCCTCTCCTTTAAAATCAAAGCAAGATAATCCCAGTAAAAGCAGGTTTTGTGCAAACCTTGGAGAATTCTAGGACAGCAATCAAAATGATTTTTTCATAGTGAACCAGTCTAGGCTCTTAAAAGTAGAGCACTATATTAAGCCTGAGAAAACAGCCGCCATTTTGCAATGTCATGACCAATAATTTCCCTGCAAAATGACATCTGAGGGATGAGTGTGGAAATCCCATACTGACGATGTGTCATTTCCCAAATCTGATTCTGGGTAGTGCTTCTGATTGGTCGTGCCACATGGGAAATTTGCTTTAACCAGTCAGAAGTACACTGTACTACCCAGATCTGGTTTAATAGTGACACAACATCAATATTGAATTTCTGGAGTCATTCGCAAAATGTCAGCTTGTTTTTTTAATGCTACACTAGTGTATTATGATTCACACTTACCAAAAGCTGGGATAACTGTTTCCAGGTGATCCTGATCAACTTTAATCACATCTCCACTATCTGACATCTTTAAAACAGCGACGAATAAGTTCTGAATATCCTGCGATTAAAAAACCAAAACATAATAATACACGACATTAATTAATTCTGTCCTGTCCTCAGAAAGTGATTTTTATTTATTTCTTTTTATGGACAACAATCCGTATGAAGTAGGAGCCCCAAAAAGGTTTCTGCGGATCTCCTTCTTGGAACCCAAGATTCAGGAATCTAACAAACAAAAGTGAGTGCGAGATTGGGTATTTGCATTTGGGTGTGGAATGGGATGGGGGATCTTCACTGTAGTGACTTAATGAAGTGGGATGAGAAGGAAAATTGTGGCCTTGTTTTATTTCATCTACATGTACATGTGTTTCTTTTTAAACCAAACACATACCTTGACTGTTCCTTTCTTTTTGTAGTATTTATCACCAAGTTTTTTGGTGACAACTTTGACTATAAGTCCCTGTAAAGGAAGGAATAACAGCCAAGAAGGCACTTAATTAAAACAAAATATCCTAAGTGGTTCAGATTCAGATGATGCATAATAAAATCAAACTCAAGTGTACTGGAAAATAATGACATCGGACATGGAAAAAATTAATGCATTTGGAAGTCTGCAAAAAACAATTTGGAAACAGCATAAATAGTTTGCAATCTTAATCTGTTGGAAAGAAATTTCTACCTTAAAATTCCCAAGGGAGGGGAAGGTGGGGGACGGGGGGGAATTGATTCTCTAGGGTACCTTTGCTATCCAATTACTTTTGCGGCTGGCTTTCATCTTTTCCTGTTCTTGCATCTGTCGAGAAAACAAAAACTGTGATATTATTATTATAATCATATAAACTATAACAAAATTCTTAAATCTGATTGGCTATCAACTGCCCTGATTTCAGCCTTAATAGGACAGTTAAATAGGACAGTACATGTCATGCTTAAGTAATTGGACAGTACACGCCATCACGCGCGCACTTAAATGGTTTTTTTTTTTTCACTGCTAGCAAAAAAAATCTCGGAATTTCTTGTCTTTTGATTAAAAAAAGAGCCTAATATAATCATAACTTTTACAAAATTTGTGATATTATCCCAAATTTTGTAAAAGTCATGATTAATATTATTGGTAACAGAACTTTGTGTCGTCCAATTCAGTCTGTAATCATACTTGTGATTAAACAAATCGGACTCCGGCTATGCAGTCGTCCGATTTTGTTAATCACTCGTATGATTACAGACCAAATTAGACTCCACTCAGTCTTGTTACCATTACTTATTATTATTATTATTATTATTATTATTATTATTACTATTATGACGAAAAAGAGTGCTTGAAAGAAAGGTTGTTTTATTAATGTAAAATATCAGTGGCATTCCTGTTCGTAATGACTAAAAGGAAGTTACTGTATAGTAATAGCAAATCAAAAGTCAAATGAACAACCAAACAAAAACACTCACTTCCATGATTTCTTCCAAAGCTGATTTTCGTTTTAAACTGCAGAAAGAATTATAGTAGAGCAATCATGCATCTCTGAATGGGAAATTTTTCCACTTACTAATACTTTATTTTGTTTTTCAACATTATGGAATGAAATTTGAGAATTGGCAAGAATTGACTAGTGAAAGAAAAAGGGAGTGAATACTAGGTACCTTTCTTTTGTTTTCTCTTTATCCATTTTCTTCTCCTTTTGCGAAGAGCTTAGAGAGGCTAAGGGATTCTGTAGAGATGAAGGATTTGACTCATCTATTCTGAAATTTAACCAAAAGGAAAGTTTGAAAATCTGTTTGTCAACTGTTTATCTCATTGTAGTCATTTTTTTGCATCAGAACTTCAGGAAAATAACATTGGAAAGTACTATGGATAATCAGTAAACATTTCCCATGGTTTATCATAGGAATTGGGTAATGAGGGATGCATGGGCCTTACACTAAAACTGTATTACAAAAAAAACATATTTCTTCGCTGGCATTACTATTTAAGTCATGAAAATCCTGCAATATTGCAGCCAAGAATAAACCATACTTGCTACCCAAGTTTTCTCTTCTGAAAAGGTGACCAACCCTAGCAGATCTTNGTAATGAGGGATGCATGGGCCTTACACTAAAACTGTATTACAAAAAAAACATATTTCTTCGCTGGCATTACTATTTAAGTCATGAAAATCCTGCAATATTGCAGCCAAGAATAAACCATACTTGCTACCCAAGTTTTCTCTTCTGAAAAGGTGACCAACCCTAGTAGATCTTTTGCAGCATAATTTCCTTAGATGGTTTTGAAAGGAAGAAATTAAAACGAGGAAAGAAGAGTGAGCAGGTGCTATGAGTGGCAGGGTGTGAGTCATGGGATAGACCCCCATAAAGATTATCATGGTCTTCATGGCAAAAAAGGGGGGTAGTATTGGTTAGGGTGTAGCTTTAGGGCATCAGTCCTTGATTGATGTTCCAAAAAGGGTTTTAAGTCTAAAGTGGATGGAGTTGCACAATAACATTGCATCATTGTCAACTTCTTTGAGATAACATTTCATGATGCCACCAGTAGTGTAACCCCTTGAAATGATATCTGAGGAATGAGCATAGAAATTCCATACTGATGATTGGGATGTGCCACAGCAGATCTGGGTAGTGCTCCTGAATAGTTGAAGCAAATTTTCAACCAATCAGGAAGCACGTGCAGATCTGGTACATAGCCTTGACACATCATCAGTATGGAATTTCTGCAGTCTTTCCTCAGAAGTCATTTTGTGGGGAAACTAGTGGTGGAGTTGCAAAATGTTGGCCGTTTTCTCAGGCTAAGATTACTTTTAAAGTGTCATGTACAAATTATTTGTGATTCATCTCAAATATTCACATTTATTTTTGAAATCAATTAATAATAATTGGCATGGATGAGCATTAACAAAAACAGCTTTAATAATAATACTATTTACACACACCTGCTAGGTCCTGGTAAAGGTTCTTTCTTTTTACCAGCTGGCATAGCAAAGGTTACTAGAAAGAGTATAACAATTTTTGCATGTTTAATATCATTTTCTTTATTAATTTTAATTTGTTTTATTTTACTAATAATAGAAAAACATTCCTATATCCCCCTACAATGCAGTGGTTTATGTCAAAATGGGTTTCATATCTACATCCACAATCAGCAACAAAATTAACAATTAGTTGAAACACTGTATATTAGATCCTTAGCTGTTCTTGCATTTTGCAGACTTTTCCACTTCAAATGGGAAAAAAGCAAGTCTTCCCTCCCCACCACCCCCCTTCCCCCCCCCCGGCAATGTTAAGCTGCTGCTCAAGCTAATTGTACGAGACAAAAAACAATTCAAAAGTGAATGAGGGGTGGGGGGAGGGTTTCAGATTGTTTTCACCAAACTATACGCTATTGACAAAAGTGATTTATTTTAAACAGTTTTGTTGCTGATCGTGGCATAAATAATAATAAAAAAGAATTTCCTTTTTTAATACAAACCTTTTTCCTCTTCATTTTCACGTTTCAACTCAGTAAAAACACTCTCTGCCTGGAAAGAAAAAAAAAGTTTCATTTTACTACTCACCACACAGTCTATATGTCACACTAGTGATAGTGATACCACAGTGGTTTTACTAGTATAGTGAGGAAAACCCTAGCTGCAAGGGAATATTGACAGGCCCGTGTCTACAACAGCAGACAGGAACAATGGGACAATTTAGCAAAGACAATAGACAAGATAGCAAAAAATTAAAGAAAAACATCACCTCATCGACTTTTCTTGCTTTCTCCCTTTCAATTTGCCTTTCAAGTTGCTTGGCTAATACAAAAAAATATAATAATATGGCATAAATTTGATCATAATGTAAGTTCATGTATGACCCTAATTTTAGAGATCTTGAGATGGTTATTAAGAAAAACAACAGGAAAACCAACAACACTCAATCAAATCAATATCAATGAGAACAACAAAAATCAATATTAAAAAACAATTTTCATCAGTTTACTCAGAAAAATAATTTCTTACCATGTCTTTCTTCATCATCCATCTCCATTTTTTCCTTTGCTGCAGCCGCCTGATTTAAAAAAAAATCATTTTATCTTCATTAAGGCAAAGCAAAAGTTCATAGACAGTGTGATAAGCTGAAAGGAAACATAAGCACTCTAAAAGAATGTTGGAATAAAGCTCTCCAACATGTTACAACAATAAATACCTTATCAATAATTAACAATTATTGGATGAGGTTGAGCAAAATACTGTGATTTGTCTGTGGCGAGCAGATCAATTATTTGTTGAAGCCGAAACCTGAGGCAAATAACTGATCTGCGAGACACTGACAAATCATGACATTTTGTGATAAACCGAGTTCAATAATTGTTTTATCATTAAATCACCAAGTTTGTTTTTATAATGAATATCCTCTGGAGGCGAAGCGATCTGCCATTTTCATGCAAGAGTGATCACAAGAGGGAGAAAAACATGGTTTCCTTTACCCATGTGCAGAATATTATTTGCAGCCAAACACAGTTGGACGGCATTGCGCATGAGGAGACCATTATTTGTAGGCAGTTATTTGCAGGTCACGTGGTGGGCTCTCGGCCAATGAAAAGAAAGAAAAATTTGCTTTGAATGATAATAATAATAATTATTATTGTCTGCCTGCTAAAATACCATATGACACTGCTTTTATCCCATCAGTAGTAATTATACGTGTGTGCACAAAGATGGCAGGTATAGTGAATGAGGTCTATTAAACATAACTTTAACTACCAAAAATTAATAATGCTGCATGATCACAACTTTTTTTACCTTTTGTCTTTCAATAGTTTCAGGATCTCTGTCAATATAAGCTATAAACCATCCCTTCTCTGTCTCATCCACCTTGCAATGTCCTGTGCATACAAAGGCAGTAAGACACTCAGGGACAGTACATATACATTCCTCAGGGTTCATACTCTTTTGAGCTCTTCAAATATTCCATGACTTTCTATGACCTTTTCCATGACCTTTTTAAGTTTTCCATGACCCTACATTTAGCTGTCATTTTCAAAAATTTACAAAACTTTCCTTGTTTTAGCATATTTTTTGACCTTAAACAGTTCAACAGAAACAAATTACTCTAATTATTCCTCTCTATCGTGCATCAGTTATCCTTGCTTATATTGTCATCTGCAGCGACTAATATAGTCTACCAAACAAAACTTTGATTTTCCATGACTTTCCAGGGCCGATAATTAAATTCCATGACCTTCCAGGCCTGGAAAATGAAATTCTTAAATTCCATGACTTTCCACATTTTCCATGACCTGCACAAACCCTGTTCCTATAAAAAAAACTTAAAACACGCCATTAATTACCTTCTTTTCCAAGCCACTTCACAAAGTCAGTTAGAGTTTCCCACTGTGCAAGAACAATAATAAATATATTAGAGCCATTATTAAGAGTCAGTGTTCATGTCTAGAGTAGACCATCAGATGGGTGCAATAAAAAAGGGCTTCCGTGAATCTAGATCAAATGTCAAATTCTCATTTGCGACACAAGTAATTGAAAGGAGAGTCTTGCAGTTTATCAGTAGTCACTTGGGGTGTTTTTGCCAGGCACGCCTTATTAATAATTAATGCAATTAACAAATTATACTGACCTGTGTTGAATTCATATGAGTGTGATGTCTGTCACTGATGTACTCCTGATAAACTTGATTTGCACGCACCCTGCGAGTACCTGAAAAACAACACATTGACAGTAAGCCAAAACACCGACATGACCAGTTTAAGTTAACTTCAGATGACTTAGTCAATGTTTATTAATGAAAATCTTGAACGTTTCAGTAAGTAGGGTTAGCCAAAAACTATTATATTAATTTGGTGTTGTTCAAGTCAAATTAAATGTATCCTAATCTTTGGCTAATCTAAGACTTCCTGCATGTTTGTAATGTTAATAAAAATAACCAGTCACATACCAAACTGTCTCTTAAGAAGTTTCAGAAATTCGTCTTGAAATTCTCTGAAAGATAAAAGCTAGATAATGGGTGACATGATACATACAGCATCAATTTCCACCGCTTAAACATGTATAAAGCCCAGGGCTTATACGTCGTCATAAGGTGTTTAAGGAGGGTTTATAAATGGAGGGGCTCATATGTGAGGAAGCTTACAACAGGAATGCAAAAAAGGCTTCGAATCAATCTACAGTGGTACTGATTATAATGTGTTTTGGATTTGGTGGATTTTAATTAAGCATTTAAACTAAAATAAATCAATTCATTTCAATACAAGCTAGAGGAGATCTTATATCCAGGGGGCTTACAATTTGATGTATTTTTTATTTACAGGTATAGATGGATCTATAACCAGAGGGGGGGAGGCATGGGGTTATAAGTGGCAGTTTATGATACTGAGTGTACACAAACTTCGTTTAACACAAATATAAGCTGAGGGCACATTATTTTTTTGAGTGACACTTTACTGGACCTACCTGGAGAAACTATCCATGTACTTATCAACATCTTCAGCTAACAACAGCAGCTGACGCTGGTGTGACTCGGACATGGTGTGACATTTGAAACCATTCTGATCATTCCAAAAAAATGAGAAAGAAAGCTTTATAATATGATTGCAACACATTAACACTGACAAAAGTAAAAAAGAAACAACCTCTACAATGACTTAACAGTGACACTTGGAAAAAGAAAAGATTATACTAGAAAAGCTGCGGGGTGGGGGGGGGTGGGAGGAGGAGAAGGAAATTTCCTTGATGCTCGTCA